CTCTTCCAGATTTTCCGTACAGGTGCAGGGTCCCAAAGCATTGGGCTGTCCTCGACTGCTTTCCCAGGCCACAAGCAGGGAGCTGGATGGGAAGTGGAGCTGCCGGGATTAGAACCAGCGCCCATTTGGGATCCCGGTGCGTTCAAGGCAAGGACTTTAGCCACTAGGCCACGCCGCCGGGCCCTACCCAAGCCCTCTTAATCACAGTGATAAATGTCCACTCCATGATTTATTTCTGCAATTCTCTAGTCTTAAAAAGAGCAAGTGTCCCTGTCAATAAAATCTAAAAGAAGACAAAATAATGAGTAATTAACATAAAATGACTAAAAATGCACACTCTATCATTGGGATAAGAGAAGCCCATCCTGATAAGTCAGTACATAACAAATGAGCAAGGCAGACAGACAGCAGGAAAATGCACCCAGAGCTGGCAGCGGCCGGAGGACGGCTCGACGGCAGTCCCTTTGGCCATCACACACGTCATACCTGGTCAAAACCCAAAGCATTCTTCAAACAATAATGTTTGTTTAGCTACGATGAGATTTCTTTTAAAAATGTTTATTATTCTTATCTATTTGGAAGGCAGAGAGAGAGAAGAAACAGAAAGAGGAGAAGCACGGAGATGCAGAGAGGAAGGAAGGGGAGGGAGAGAAAAGGTGACAGGAGCGAGCTTCCATCCTCTGGCTCACTCCCCAAGTGATTGTGGACAGCCACGGCTGGTCTAGGCCAAAGCCAGGAGCCTGAAGTTCATCTGAATAGCCCACATGGGCAGCAGAGGCCCAAGCGCTTGAGCCATCACTGACAGCCTCCTAAGATGCATTAGCAAGAAGCAGGATTGGGAGCAGAGCAGCTGGGACTTGAACCAGCACTCTGAGATGCCACAATCACAAGCAGCAGCTTAACGTGCTACACCGTAACACCCGGCCGTAGCATGACATGTTCTGTAGCATATGTACTCTAAAGCCTACGGTTACAATGTAAATAACAAATAACTAACAAAGACAAAAATAAAATTGTTTCAACACAAGGAGTTATTTATGCAAACAATTAATGAAATGCAAACCCCTCTCAATCTCTACTGTGTTCTGAACAAACAGGAGAGCCACTTTGACTCTAATAAATACTCCTCTGGTGCCAGCTGGGGAGTGAGCCAGCTAATGGAAGAACAAACTAGGGATGCACCTTTAATTATACTAAACGTGATGGTGGTACTGCTATGGCTATGGACAAAAGCATACCTGAGCCTTCTCCCGGCTCTAGCTTATAAGGCAGGGCCATTTACTCTCCTGAGACCACTAACTTCACTATACGGTCCTGTGGTACAAAGTACCCAGTTTCAGCATCAAATGTCTAGGTTGTTGAGATTTAACATTCATTTTATATAGCTTGCAACCTCTATCAAGGAAATCCCACACACTGAAGCAGTGAAACGGCGGCATCTACTGGCAAAATGTGTTCTTGCAACAGAGTTTGGAGAGCTTCACCACAGTTCCTAAGAGGGCAGAAAGAAAACCGATGTTCAATAGAGGGATGCAAGCAAGCTCAGGGAAGTTCTAACAGCGATTCCCAGGACCACTTTGTTATTCAATCAGTAATCAACTGGATCCTTTTGTTTTACAATACCTTGTAAATCAGTCCTTTCAGGAGCAATTTTTCTTGGAGACCAGACCTCCGGTGTTGTAATGGAAATCAAAGACAAGTCACTAGGGAGGAGGTTTAGGTCACGGAAATTTACTCTACGGGCAATGTTTCAGGATAAGAAAGCAGACAGAAAGCTGACCTTTATGAACAGACTACTGAAGCTGCAGGCATTTTATATGCACTACTCTGTGGCAGCCACAGAACCAGAATCTAGCCTACAAATTCCACTTAGAGTCTCCACCTTATAGGGGAGGAAAATCAAACTCAGAGAGAAGGAACTGCCCCAAAGTTACTAAGCAAAGGACAAAGCCAAGATTCAAACCCTTAAAGCTTGGCTCCAGGAACCTTAGCTACGAGACATAACTAAAATGCACATAATCTATTTCCATACAAAGAGACTCAACGGAACTTCTAAACAAATGTGGAACCTAATATATTTCAACCAAAAAACTGGGGTGTACAAAACAAGCACTCTCCGGTGTTGTGTTTTTCCCAATAGCAACGCATTCAGAGTAGCTTTCAGCTCCTGGGGTCGTCTTCCCGATGCCTTCCACCTCTTCCCCACACGGGCAGTGTGAAAGCTGAGTAACATCAGCACCAAATGATAACGGCGACACAAGGAGAGAAACAGAGACATGACTGCCACTGGAAAGTTACTGGTGTTGGGAGTACTGTGGACTGATGTCTTCAACAACAGAAGATGCTCAGCTTGTACATCAGTTGGGCAGTAGAACATCTAAGATCTAAGTTACCAAGGCAACTGTTGGGGCCAGTGCAATGGCTCAACAGGCCTGCAGGTGCCGCCATCCGATACGGCCACCGATTCATGTCTCCCAGCTGCTCCACTTCCCATTCAGCTCCCTGCTTATGGCCTGGGAAAGCAGTGGAGGATGGTCCAAGTCCTTGGACCCTGCTCCCACACGGGAGACCCCCGAGAGGGATCCTGGTTCTTGGCTTCAGATCAACTGAATTCCGGCTGTTGTGGCCATTTGGGGAGTGAACCAGCAGATGGAACATCTTTCTGTCTTCTTCTCTGTAAATTTGCCTTTCAAGCAAAAATAAGTAAATCTTAAAAAAAGAGAAAAACTAAAAAACAAGCGCTTATGTGAAGAAAGGGAAATGACAGAAGGAACAAATGAAAAAGGTTCTGGGGCCCCAAACCCACATGGGAGATACAGAATAAGCTCCTGGCTTTTGGCTTCCTATGGGGGGTCCAATCTGGCCACTAAGGCCATTCATGAATCAGTGGATAAAAGCATTTTCTCTCTACCTCTCTAGTTCTGCCTTCCAAACAAATAAATAAAACTTTAAACAGATCTGCACTACCCTTTCCCTACAGAGGAACTGGGCCACATGAACAAACACTACATTCACAGCTGTAACAGAAACTCTTGCTTTGGAAGAGGTCGAGAAGATTAACACACCTTTCTCCTTGTCTTCTCACATTCCATGTCCCAGGAATATGGATTACAGGACTGTCAAGTGTCCATGTGAGAAAATAATGGGAGGTGGAATAAAACATCCTTGGAAACTCAAAAAAGCAGAGTAAAGGATACGAGGGCACCTCAAAAAATTTATAGACGATAAATGAAAAGATAAGGCATTTTTGTCTGGGAAAAAAAAATTGATGGTGGGAGGGTCTTCAAAAAAAGTATGGGCCCAGTGTGGTAGCCTAGCGGCTAAAGTCCTCATCTTGCATGCCATGTGGGTGCCGGCTTGTGTCCTGGCAGCCCCGCTTCCCATCCAGCTCCTTGTTTGTGGCCTGAGAAAGTAATCACAGATGGCCCAAAGCCTGGGGACCCTGCACCCGCACAAGGGACCCAGGGAAGCTCTGGGCGCCTGGCTTTGGATTGGCTCGGCCCCGGCCATTGCAGCTGCTTGGGGAGTGAGTCGTCAGACGGAAGATCTTCCTCTCTCTCTCTCCTCCTCTCTGTATATCTGATTTTCCAATAAAAATAAATAAATCTTTTAAAAATTAAAATAAATACATAAATAAAAGCTGACACTCTTATCACACGAAAGGCCCTGCTGCGCATGCTCCTAGGGCCTCATTCCCTGCTACAGACCCTGGGGGGCCCTCCCAGACGTTGTGTTTCTCCCCAGCTCAGCGAGTGACAGAGCAGGTTCCTGCCTGCAGGGCTGCACGGGGGCTGTTCCCACTGCCTGAAAACCCATGTGGCACACTCTCTCATCTTCCTGCCAGTCAGGACTCCCTTGCCACTTGGACTTCTCCCTAACCTCCTTTCACTTTCTTTTCCACAGTCCTTACCACCTTCCAACACAGTGATGTGGTACCTGTTTCCTTCTTCTAGAATGAAATCTCTGAATGACAGACGGGTTTTTGACTGTTTGAGTCACTATAAAGTGCCGACAACTGAAGAACAGCAAATACTGATGAAACGCATGAACCTGGGTTCTAACACCCATCTTCAAGAAAGCTACTTTGGTCTTCAAAGGATCCCAGTAGCTGCACAAACTATGACAACCTGCCACTTTACAGAAGCAGGAATTACGGGGGGATGACAGCATTTTCTCAAGGCCACGGAGTAGGGGAAATGGAGAGGCCGCACTGCCAAGGCCCCAGAGCTCAGACTCAGTGCCCAAAAGTAAGCTCTGTGACAAGTGAAAACTGAATTATGACAGCTTAATGTCAAACTTCAGAAATTAGGAAAATAAAAATTCAAAATTACCCAAGGGAAAAACATTTTGTAAAAATACTCAAAAAAAGGAGTGCAAGCTCCTTGATTTACTTTTTCTCCAGTTTTTGTCTCTCTCCTCATTAAATCCCTGTGAATATTAGTAAGTGCCTGTAGTTGAGGAAGAAAGCTCCATGGCAAAAAAAAAAAAGAAAACACACCCAGGTCTCCTTAAGAAACTTTGGAATAATTTAATATTCATCCTCTGGAAAAATTCAGAATAATCTTCTCAGGAAGCTTAAAATTGGGAAAATTAGAACAACAAAGACTGCACAAAACAGCATCACCTGTCCTTCAAATCTAATTCTTAAACATGATACCACAATCCCAAATAAAGACAGTTGCCTCTTCACATGACGAACAAAAAGTCCTTTGAATATGAACAATTTCAAGTCGAACAAAGGAAAAGAACAGGCGAATAAAGGATTTTTAAAGCAAGAAAAATGTCACTGAGCAGGTGCTATTGAATGGCTCAAGCATCAACAATCAGAACGCTGTCAGCTCATCCTCCTGAGGCCCCCAGCCTGGGAGTGCAGCCAGCGCAGTCTCAGGAGACTCGACCTGTGTGAGAACATGTGCCAGCACTTGCCCTGAACTGGGTATGTGACACTCCAAAGAACTTACCGCAGAAAGACACAACCCTGAATTCCCAACTCTACTTACAAACTCATAGTCTCCATCCTGTGGTACTTTCCAATCGGAAGAATTTTTCAATGGACCAGGTACGCTCTGGCCAAAGCTGTTGACCTGTTCTTTTTCTTTTTGTTCAAAGTATTCAAGAAAAGATGGTTTTGCAGGCTGCATGGTTTCATCCCTTCCTGAAAACCAAAAAAAAAAAAAAAAAAAAGCTGAAAAGGAACATGTTTTTAGGTGTAAAAAACAGATCTCCAGATGAACTGCTGTTTCCATGAGCGACACAAGGACCCTCTTAGGAAGCAAATGAACCTACAGAAAAATGCCCACTGAACATGAGCAACTCACAACCCAACCACTATGCAAGTTTAAGATTACACACACGGCTTGCAATAAAGGAGAAAAACAGGGCATAATAATATATATCCAGTATGACTTCAAATCTATAAAATCATATACAAGGACAAAAAAGAAAAGGAGTAGAAGAAAATATACCAAAATGCTAACAGTTTGTTTCTGGTTGTAAGACTTTGGGTTTTTATTTACTGTTTCAAGTATTTCTTTTAACATTTAATGCTGGGCAAGTATTAAATGAACATAATTTTTTGTTAATTTTCATGCTATTGTGGGGTGCAGTTTTATTATGCCCAGAAAATATTACAGGCTGGACAGACTGGGTGGCAGGGGAGGAGAAGAAGGGGGTTGGGGTTGGACCTCAAGTCACCCCAGATAGCAAAATCAGTTACATAGCAGCAGTCACCCTGTGAGCACACAGCAGCTACTAGGAACAACAGCAAAGTCAGTAATTTCACTTGTCATGACTTAGACGCCTCGCTGGAGTAGACGTTCAGCCCAGCAGATAAAACACTGCCTGGATGTCTGCATTCCATACCAGAGTACCTCAGCCTAAGTCCCCCAGTTCCAGCCTCCCGCTGATGTGCATGTGGAGACAGTAGGTCATGGTCAAGTAGCTGGGTCCCTGCTTCCCACACAGGAGACCTGGACAGTCGCTGACAGCTTGGCCCAGCCTCAGCTGCTGAGACATTTGGGAGTAACCCAGTAGACAGCAAATATTCTCTCTCAATCCCTCCATCCATCCCTCCCTCTTTCTGTCTCTCCACCTTGAACCAGGGAATGGAATATATCTCCATCTACCTTTCAAGAAAAAAAAAAAAATCCCAGCTAGTAACTTATACCTACTTATGCCTGTGATTGGTAGTTGAACATAAAAAAAGAAACAGAAAAAAATGTAAAGCATTTTTCATGAATACATGAGCTTACACAGCCTTTTCCTACAGTGGTGGGAAAGACTAAACAGTTCAGAGCCTTACAAAGCAGATGGAGAAGAATCTGGGAGATAAACAAAACAAAACAGTATGTGTTACTCTACAGGTAACCTTAGTCCATGCAGTGTTATTTATTCTGTAACACTTGCCTAACCTGCTTTCAAATCAGCACCCTGACTGCCTTTTGGAAATTTGTAATCTTTCTCGCTATTATCATTGCCAAGTTCAAGAGCAGGCAACCACATGCTTGTCCACTTTTCAGATGTTGCCAGTAGCTCAGAACACTCTAGTGGCTTCACTTACTGGAGATCCAATCCAGTATGTGCCAAGACAAGTTGATGAGTATATAGTTTCATTTTATGTGTTCCAGACACGTTATTAAGAGTGCTTCATGCTTATTTTTGCTTAATGTTCAAATTATATAGTTCTTGAGGTACCTTAACAAAACTTGTAAAAATGGTTGTGCTTTGGATCTGCCAATGAGTCAGAAAGTTATATCCTTTTGTCCAAAGGTCCAGAAAAAATATATATAAATCCAAAGGACCATCTGAATAATGGGAAAGTTGACCGGAAAAAGGCTAAATTGGTCCTGTATCTCAAACCCTGAACTAGGAAAACTCCAAATGGATAGGAGATCTAGTTATTTAAAAAAAAAAAAATGGGAACCTTAAATTCTAAAAGAAAACATCTGTAAATTTATTTCAAACTGAGAATAGAAAGGGCTTTGTAACTATGATTTTAAAAATCCAGACACAATAAAAAAATACAGATAAATACTGCTCTGTGTTTGTTTTCTAGACTGATAATGATTTTGAGTAAGCAGACTTGCATTCTTATCACAATGCCTACCAGATTATTTGGAAACACAATGACAATAATTTCCTCTAGGTATCTTCATCCTTGAGTTGTGCCCTCCCACAGTAACTCTGGGCCTTGCTTCTGTCCCTGACACAGTAACTGCAAACCCTTGTGAGTGCTGCTGTGAGGTAAACAGACCTGAGCAAGCCTGCTGGAGGGGGAGGAAGGCCCCGGTGAATAGTTGGCAGGGCTGGGACCTTCATAAATCAGCCACTCCCACTGCTACTGTACCAGCTGTCCCAGCCATCCACAGGGTTGACCAAACCCAGACAAGAATAACTACCCTGTCAACTTGCCAAGTCATAAACTAAATAAAATTGTTGCTATTTTGAACTGCTACCTGTTGGGGGCAGCTTGTAATGTAGCAACAGTTAACTCATATACTATCCTTTGGTTTTCTCTCACCCTCTCTCATACACTAAATCTACAAAAAGTTTCAGACTTTGGAATTCAGGTCCATATTTAAAATTAAGTGAATACTTTTTAAGTTTCAGGATTTCAACTAGTTGCTCTCCTGTGATGTTCTCATCCATGTCCATCAAATGCGGTGAGGGAGGGCTGGTGCCATGGCTTAGCAAGCTAATCTTCCACAGGTAGCGTTAGCATCCTGTAGGGGCACCAGTTCATGTGCCGCAACTGCTCCACTTCCCATCCAGCTTTCTGCTTGTGGCCTGGGAAAGCAGTCAAAGACAGCCCAAATACCCATGTGGGAGACTTCGTTAGAAACTGCTAGCTTCTAGTTTCGGATTGGCTCAGCGACAGATAGTGCAACCATTTGGAGAGTGAACTAGAAGACGAAAGATCTCTCCGTGTCTCTCCTTCTCTCTCTGCAACTCTAACTTCCAATTGAAAACAAACAAATTAAAGAAAAAGAGAATGAGGTGGGGGTACCTTTGACAGGCATCTACCAAGTGCCAGGCAATGCACCGCTTTACTTTGTCCTCAAAGAATTCTCATAGATGTGCTATTGTTCCCCACTTTAGAATTGAGAAACTGGCCTAAGTATTGCACAGCTTGTAACCAACAATGAAAGGATGTGAACGGCCACTGTGGCTTTTTAAAGTCTGGTGAACTGGCTCTCACATCACACGCTTTCTAATGAAGATTCTTGACATGCTAGAAATACCATTAATCCAAGTGCAGGAAGGAAGGAATGGAATTTTCCCAGTAACCTTATCTTTGAACTTACCTTTCAGCACCCTGAGCTAATGATCAAGTGTGCCCTACAGGAGCCTTTCTGTGCTGAAAAGCAGCAGACAATCACGCCAGCCGATAAAAGGCCATGCTGTCCCCCGGGGCTTCGTGGGCTTTTCCTTTCAACCTGAGCTAGAGTATTTTTCAGACGTATCCCAGGAATTGAAGACACTGAACTGGATGAGAATACACAAAGTCATAAGAAGAATGGACTCAGCAGACAGAAATCCAGCCTTGGAAACAGCCGCATCGTTTTCTGATTCTTTTATCTGATTCAGGAAAGCAGCACGAACTCTTACACTATGAATGTCCTATTTTTCTTTTTAAGTAGAATACACCAAGCTAAAGTTGCAGATAGAGGAATGAACTCATTAGCAATTGACCTCCTACTAATTTTCCTTTTAAGAAATGATGTGTAAAATCAGGACGCAACAACCCAAATGAAGAAGAAACAAAAATGCAATAAACCCATAAATTGGAATATCACTCAATAACAAAAAGAAACAAAATGCTGCCATGCTACAACCTGGCTGATCCCTAAAAACATCATGCAGAATGAAAGGAGACAGATAAAAAAAAGGCCACGTATTGGACGATTTCACTTACACAAAATGTTCAGAAAGGCAAATCCAGAGACACAACGCAGAGGAATGGTTACCTCGAGATGAGGAGAGAAGGGAAAGCAAATGCTAGCAGAATCAGGCTTTGTCTGCAGGTGAGCAAAATGCCTGCGATTCAACAGGGCTTGCTATGCACTAAGAAGCCACTGTACTGTACATTTTACATTGAAAACCACTGAAATGTATATGTATATTTTCTATGAGTGTTTTGTATGGTGGATGAACTACACATCAATAATTCATTCTGTTAAAAAAAAAAAGCAACAAGACCCCTTTTGCTATTTGCTCTTGTTCCTAATTCATGTAAACTATAACAAAATGCCAGGGTAGTCTTAACTGGAAAAGAAGGGAGCTGGACCAAAGCCTGAGAGCTACTTTAGCTTTAGAATGATCCTAAAAACTTTTTTTAACCCACCATCTGAAACATTCACTAGTCAGACTGTTACTAAAAAACCACAAAGACCGAAGTACTCTTTAATTTCTACGCTAACTTTTCCACCTGCGCACTAATTAGCTCTATCCAAACTGGAGGCCCGGGCAAAGGCTGCATTTTCCTCTTGGCTTCATTCATTTTTTGGATATATGTAAGAGAGAGTGTGTGTGCAGGAATCTCTTGCACGTTTTCTTCATGGGAACTGGCACAGTGGCTCAACTTAGCTATACCTGCAAGTGCTGGCTTCCTTGATGGGCACCGGTTTGTGTCCTGGCCACTCCACTTCCCATTCAGCTCCCTGCTGGCAGCCTGGGAAAGCCGTGGAGGTCTCCCAAGTGGGAGACCCAAAAGATGCTCCTGGCTTCTGATCAGCTCAGTTCTGGCTACTGCAGCCGTTTAGGGAGTAAACTAGCAGATGAAAGATCTTTCACTCTGTATCTCTGCTTCTCTCTGTAAATTTGCTTTTCTAAGAAAAATTTTTAAATCTTTAAAAAAAAAAAGTTTTCTGGCCCAACGCAGTAGCCTAGTGGTTAATGTCCTTGCCTTGCATGCACTGGGATCTCATAAGGGTGTCAGTTTGTGCCCTGGTTGCTCTACTTTCCTTCAGCTCCCTGCCTGTGGCCTGGGAAAGCAGTGGAGGACAGCCCAAAGTCTTAGGACCCTGCACCCATAGGAGACCCAGAAGAAGCTCCTGGCCCCTGGCTTCAGACTGGCTCAGCTCTGGCTGTTGCAGCCACTTGGGGAGTGAATCAACAGATGGAAGATCTCCCTCTCTGTCTCTCTTCCTCTCTGTA